ACATCCGGCCAGTCGGCCCCCTAGCCCCGTCACAGTTGTCCAAACAAAATCTTTTTGATTAGATTACACCACCAAATTATTGGCTCATTCTTCTGTCATCTTCTTGATGAATCGCCTGCAACAGCACTATTTCGCTGCAGCACAACGCATGTGAACATGTACGCAGTACACTTACCGTGTTCTCCGCAAGCATCGCGAGCAGCTTCTGTAAAGGTGGGCAGATTCTATGAAGGTTACCTGTCTTGTTTTCAATCCTTCAGAAGACCTCGAAGATTACTGGCACAGCGTTGAGCAGATACACTCAATACGAGGCATTAAAAAGGACAGTTCGTTATGACGCACGTGACAATATTGAATCAAAGACACGCATAACTTTGTCAGAAGCATTTCCAGTAGATTTGATGAATAGGCAAAAAGCCTGATGGCCCAATTAGTCATAAAAATCCTGTTTTCCGTCTTCTTTTCCTTGGAACTTGCTTAAAGTTGTATAGTTATGAAACAGTGGAAGAATAGACATGTATCTACATGTGGAAAAGCAAGTGAGTAGACATGTTGATTGATACTTCAGACAATCAGAGGTTTCAGCCGGCCCCACCAAAAGCGCCGTTGCCTTATCGCCACCACTTTTCGCTTCCCGCTGAAAAACTTTGCTAGAACTGGCAGCGAGCGGGCTGCCATAAAGTCTTCAGCGCGAAGCAAAAGTGGTAAGGCAAGTGGTAAAGCGATAAGGCATGGCCTCCACTTTCGCTTCGCACTGGAGATTTCATGGCAGCCCGCTCGCTGCCAGTTCTAGCAAAGGTTCTCAGCGGGAAGTGAGAGTGGCAGCGACAAGGCAACGGCGCTTTTGGTGGGGCCGGCTGAGGGCCTTTGATTGTCTGAGTGGCTCTTCATAAGCTCTTCATAAGAAAAATCGAATTTAGCCTCCCCCACACGAGTTTTTCACGCTTAACTCAACATTTCTCGGAAACCAGAGCAGCTACAGAGAGCTATTTACGGTTGTAATTCTAAGGGCTTGTAGTACACAACTTTTAGCACAGCACAGAATCACTTTGGTAAAAGCATGGAATTTTGATTTTAGCTGATATAAAAATACAGCAACAGCACATATGAATGTCCGATGTGGAACGTATATGGTGAGCGAGTAGAGATCATTAGGATTTTTTTGAATGAAGACACTAAAAAAATTACAGTTTTCTGAGCATCCAAAACTTTTTAGATTTTGGTTAGAACTTCAGGTGGAACGAAGCTTGTGCAAAAGCATAAAGTCATCTTTTAGAGATTGCTTTGCTCTATCGAATGGTATCCTAATATCTGTTTAGAATTAGAAGTGTTTGACTTATTACAGTGAAAACGCAAAAACAAAAAACTTATGGGACAACCTAATATGTGCTTCTTTACCATGCAAAGTATTAGGTTGTTCCATAAGTCTTTTCATAATCGAGCTTTTACATGGTTTCTCTCAAAAACTAGGGCACCTACAGGGATGCAAATTTGTGACGGAACTGGAACAGAGAGCCGCTACAGTCAAACTTTGGAAATTCAGCTCATTGATTTTTCTTGATTTTAGCCTTTGTAAAAATGCAGCAAGTGTTTGTATAAATATCTGATGGGGAGGATATGTGCATAAGCGAGTGGTAGATTCGCAGAGTTGTTTTGAACTGACATACGATTATTTTCGTTTTTTTTTTGTAATCGGAAGTTTTTTTTTATTTTGGTTTAGCCTTTAATGTAGATCAAACTTGGTGCCAACTCTTAAAGGCAGCGTCCGGGCAAAATTTCGCCCCTCATGTTTTTGTCGTTTACTCAGACATTGGGACCGGCTGAGCCGCGGCCTCAAAAGGCCTTTCCGGCCCGTCCGCGGCCTTAATTTGGGGGCGTGGCCGAAGACCGGCCCAGCCACGGACCTTAATTCATGTCGATATGATTGCACCGGCTGATCCGCGGACTGAATATGGCTTACCGGCCCAGCCGCGGACCGAATATGGCTTACCGGCCCAGCCGCGGACCTTAATTCATGTCGATATGATTGCACCGGCTGAGCCGCGGACCAAAATCTCTATTACGAAACACCTGCTGAGCCGCGGCCCATTTTCGGCTCGGCCGGTCTTAGTATCTGAGCGTAAAGAACACTTGCGTGATGTACGACGCATGGTCAGGCTGCCCTCAGTGTCCACAGCCTCCGTTGTCTTTCCAGTCTCCAAGGCAGGAACAAGACCAATATGTTGTACAACACTTGAATATGTTGTACAACACTTGGATAGCACTTTGTGTTGTCCAATTTTGAAGCCGGACATGGTTTCCGAAGCGGCCATGTCTGTGGCTTCAATTTTTGTTTTTACAGCGTATATTTTACGTGCCAGTGAAAAAAAAACAGTCGTTTTGTATCCGAGCTAGAATGAACTAGATGGCCCGACAACCAGCTCCGGCTGAGCCGCGGCCGTTTTCCGGCTGAGCCGAGGCCGTTTTTCGGCTGAGCCGCGGACTATTCACCGGCTGGTCCGCGGACGCTGCGAAATTCCAGCCGGAAATGGGCCGCGGCTCGGCCGGTCCCAGTGTCTGAGTAGGTCCTTTCCGTGGCTCTGGTTATAGTTATAAAGTTCAAATTGTCCAAAACCCTCAAAAAACGTTTCAACTTTTAAATCGAATTTCTAAAAAATTATTAGCCTTGAATATTTTCTTAGAAGTCATAGTGAAAAACACACACAAAAACACGCAATTTAGGCCGTCTTTTGCAACTCCTCTGTTCTCTGTTCAACTTTCTAGGCATTTATTTTGAGAGAACTAGCTTTACTATGAAAATTAGGACATCTCAATTCCAAAAAGTAGGATTGCAATCACGTTCATTTTGTGTATAAGAATCCGAAATTTCGAGACATTTAATTTTTCGGAAAGCCGGAAAAAATTTAAGTTAAGTAATTTGACCACAGCCAAAAAGTGTAAAGCAACTTATCTTCAAAGATTGTTGGAATACAAGATGATTAGTAGGGAAAGAAAGAAAAGATTTAACTTTAGTTCTGAAATTTTGACTGATTTTGAGATTAGCTAGCAGGTACCTGATTTGCTGACTCATGTCAGTAGACATATTTCAGCTATTTTCAATTTAATAGTGTTGGCCGCACCATCAAAACTGTGATACACTAGCTTTTTTCGCACTGCAATGAGTGGATGGCATAGGTTCGGGCTGCCGCGTAGCTCAACTCAAGTAAGCCTGCATCGCTCCTCGCTAATTACCACCTGGTGCGGCTGCAAGCGGCTGTCCGGGTATCAGTCGACCGCCTCCCCAGCAGGACCATCAATAAAGTTTCAAGAACATCCCGTGCTTTTATCACTTGTGTTTTCCGCGTCATGCAGACAACGACTTCATAAGACAACCACGGTGGGCTCTCATGTAAGCATATCGTGATTTTACTGGCAAAACCATGAATGAATTTTGAAGAACGTGCAGAAGTGGGAGGAACAGCCGAAGCTAAACGGTGTAAATTGCACACAACGATGATGGAGTACATGAAGAACTTACATTAGACATCCAATAAGCAGCAAGCTTGGACCGAAATGAATGGAGAAAACATACGATAGCGGAAGAATCCGCATGTTGGGAAAAAGGTAGGAAAAAACTTCTAGAGTGAACAGTCAGACAAAGTGGGAATAGCAATTCTACCTGGGGTCTGCAGCAGTAGAAAACGCGAAGGGATTCTTCAAAATGATTCTGCTACTGCCTGCTGATTTATTTTCAACATTTTCGAAAATTTTGTAAAACAAAGAGCTTTTTGAGAAAGATCTCGGTAGATGAAGGGGGGGGGGACCTACGAAAATCTAATTGAGATGCATCATAAGATAGTTTTGTTAGTGCTATGAGTGACGTCACGCTCTTTCACTCTGAAGTGAGTTGAACATTGCTGTTGTCTTCCCAGCCCTGCTTCCTTTCCCGAAAAGGCTTCTGCTATCGTAGCTAAATCATTCATCAAATGGCCAAACCTGTGTAAAAATTAGATGCACCTGCGAAAACCAAATTTGCCCTCTTCATTGTTCTTGCAGTTTTACAATGATTTTTAAAAAGGAATGGACCTTGTAACAGTCCCCCAGGCCAACGCTGCGAAACCCAATATAATCGAGGTTATAGGTATCTTGATTGATGCTTATGTGCTTTTTAAGAGAGAATATGCAATGTATTAGGTCGTTTAATAAGTTCTATCCCAATTTTTCTTTTGATTTTTTCACAATATTTTTCAAGGTGTTTTGCAAAATGTATATATGCATTTGAAAGCTCTAACTCTGCTCTACCATTTTTTTTACTTCAGTTTCCTACATCAACGGAATTTGAAAAGTTTCCCAGCATCAAGTTTGAAAAACCAAAGAAGAAGAAAATCCATTTTTGCAACTAATTTAAGACACCCTGCGTTTAGGTCAGAATGCATTCAAAACAGCTCGAAAAATCTGCTGAGCGTAAGAAAAGAATTCTATAACTTCTGCAGAGGTTCAGAAGTGCAGAATAGTTTCAAAAAATTTTTTTAAAAATTTGAAAATGTCCTCTTTTTTAGCATCTTTTCAATTTAGTGTTTTGGGTACATACAGTTTAGGTAGGCAAGGCGACGAACATTACCGCAGCAAATTTTTGTTTTGCCGACTTCTGAAAACAATGGCATTTAAAGTTGGTGGAAGGGAACAGACACAAACAATGACATTACAATCATAAGAATTTAATAGGTTGTTTAGGTTGTTGCCAAGGCTGTTGAATAAAAAATTACCAGTGGAAAACGGGAATATTTGAAAAGAAAAAAGATGTCGGAAATGGATTTTTGCCCCTTTGGATTTTTTCTTTTGATGGCATAATCGTTTTCAATACCATGCTAAGTTGGGGGATAAAGCATATCAATTTGCAGAGTAGAATTAGTGTTCAAAAGCATATACATTCTATTCCAAATAGGAAAATTATTATTGATAAAGAGTCGAAAGAAAAAATGGGACAGAACTTATTACACAATCTAATATTGAGAACAAACCACTTTGATGCATCTCTGTAAGTGTGTATGCAAGGTCGTCGTCCTCCACTTCCACCAAATTTATATCGTCATGCGAAAACAGTGATTGATGCATCAACAGAAAACGTGGCATATCCTTGTAAACTTGCATAAACTCGCGCGAGTACCGAAACCACGTCTAGAACAATTGGGCCTTTCAACAAAGGCGTTACGAACAACAAAACGTATGAGTAAAAGTTCCTAACCGTGTGAAGCGGCTCTGACCCAAGGCAGTAGCCTCTCCGCTCTTTCTCAAACTCCTTGAAAATTGGTCTGAGGTAATGATCTGTTGGTTGCGAGCGGAATCCTTTCAAGCGATATGTGAAAGCGTCTGAATTATTTAATTATTAATTTATTTATTCATATATACACTCATGGTGCACCATTAAAAAAACAGAAATCGAAATAAAAAAAAACTGGACACAAAAGAAAAGACAAAGACCAACAAACCTCAGTCACAGAAGGAGAGTTATGCAAATAGAGCGCAACACAAATACCGAAGCCCCTGCCATAATGAGATAGACATTCAGCTATACACACCAGCAAAGCGAAGGAAAAAGCGCTTTCTCCAATTCCTAGAACCTTGCTTTCTCTAAAACTTATTAAGACCCTTTTTTTGGGCGTCAGCAAGCCTCCCCGTAAAAAGACTTAACCCCGAGGAATAAGTGTATTAGACGAGAGCAAGATTCGAAAGGAAAGTGGTAGGAATAAACATCTACCAACTATGAGCGACTGTTATCTGATCAAGTAGGGGGAAGGTTACGCTGTAAGGTTAACTTCAACTCGAAAATCAGATGAATGAGGCTGGTTGGTCTAATCAGCATACATTTTCAAGCTGGTTAGTAAGGATGCCTTCATACCGCGCCGGCAGCCGCCGCTAGCAGCCCGTAGAAGTCTACAGCAGCCGCTAGCAGCCCACAGCCGCCGCTGACCGCTTTTGTCATACAAACGCAAAATCATCAAATTCTTACTATTTCAAATGCAACAGCCCACGCCCTCCATCCTCCACGCTTTTTCCTCCCTGTTGCCGCAATTTGATCTCATATATCATCATACTTGTGTCCATTGTTGTTATTATCTTGTTACCGTAGATTGGTTATCCTACTGATGCTCAGTTTCCCTCTTGCAAATGAACCATTTCGCTAAAGTTTCTTCGCGATGTGACTTCTGACTTTGGATGCGTCCAGTTCCTGCAGGTTGCTATTTGTTAATTTTTAGGATGTTCTGCCTTAATCATATCACATCGGCGTGGAAGAGGGAAAGTATGGGCAGGCGCACGCAAAGTACTAAGAATTTGATGATTTTCGCTTCCATGACAAAAGCGGCCAGCGGCGGCTACGGGCTGCTGGCGGCTGCTACAGGCTGCTGGCGGCTGCTGCGGGCTGCTACGGGCTGCTACGGGCTGCCAGCGGCTGCTACGGGCGCGGTATGAAGGCACCCTAACATCGCAAAAACAACAGAAAATTATTTAGTAAAATCAGTCTCATATGATGATATCTAAACACTCGGCGAGACTGCAGCGAAACGCAAAACAGTAAATTCATCAAGAAGTCTCCTGTAAAAAAGAAGCAACAGCACGAGAAGTCTCCGTATGTAATTATGCACCGAAAAATGAGAGTAAACGTGCATTCATTGAGTTCTGTAAATATAGCTCATTAATAGTTAGATACAAATTTCTAATCTGAGGTATTCTTTCCACCGCCCTCCACTCCACCAATCTGCTTAACACGTCCACGGCGAGCAATTTTTTACCTGCTGCTATCGCGGTCACGCGGTCTTCGGAGAGCTCAAGGTACGGTAAGCAGTTACTGCAGTGAGATCTGATAAAGGGGAAGCATCGCGCTTCTCAAAACATGACTGCGAGAAATATTGCGATTGTCTATGAGCAAATGAGAGAGTGAAGAGTTGTTGAGTGGTATCGAGGCAATCTTCTGAAAGCATAGAGTTTTGTCTGATAATTTTCTATAGCTTATATATAAGGCAAGAACGCTTGGTTGTGGTTGTTAATGTTTTGCGATTGTTTTCTTATTAACTAGTTGGCTTTCCCGGTCCAGCCCGGGCCATGGTTCACCGCACTGCGAGCCTCTCCCCCTCCCCCGCCCTATATGGTATGGATGACTTACCCTGGGACCCGCTTCGAAACCGCATCCTCGTGATCCTGAGATGAAAATGAGCTTCACCGCCCTCTTTTACATGAGTATGGAAAATGCTTGATTGAACATGATAACCCTTCAATTCCTTAGGGAAATGTAAACATATCAATAAATCGATAGAAGGACCCAACGAATCGCCGCAAAAAGTAGCCTATCATCTGCGCAAGGGTCGAACACATACGTGTGCAAAGTTTCAGCTGAATCGGTTGAGCACGTTTCTATAACGCACATACCCTCCAAACTGACAATTTTTGAGTTTTATATATATATAGATGTATTATTTCACTTTTTTATACTTCAAATTGCATCATTTTTGACATATTTTGAATATGTTGTCATGCTTGTATGTTGTGTTTCCAATATATGCTTTTACCAATAAAGGCTTAATTACTCAAGTTTAAGGGTCGATTGGTGAACAACGCTCGCGTGGCCAGGTAAAAAGGGGATAGTAAGAACCCATTTCAATAACATTATTATATTCAAACTCGGAATCAAAAATCCCTACGGCTCGATTTCCCCCCCCCCCCAATGCATGACGTTATATTGAATAGATATCAATCGCAAGACGATGAATGCCACTCGTTAATTTTTGCAAGCGAAGGTGTAGTGATGGCGAGAGAGGACACGGAGGAGCGACGACAACGCAACTGCTCTGTTGCTGCATTAGTGTTGAAAGATGCGAGAAATGATCATAACCAAGTTTGGTTTGAAGTGTTCTACGATGCTCATATGCAATAGTATGTTGAACTTCACTCTGGAGACTTTCTGCACAAATTTTCACTATTCACATAACATCTGTACAGCTCCTCGACTTCATATTATGGAAGTGCACACATCCCAATCAAGCATCTTTGGAAACGAAAAGCATTGCTGTCCGCTCAATCACAATTGGGTTTTCCGCATGCGATTGAATCTAAAATAGCTCGAGCACAATTATTATATAATCTTACTCGAAAAAATTCTATTCCCACTATTGTATTTTTCGCACACTGTACGCTGGGCAACTTTTGTGGGCAAAGGTCGTCCTGGAATTCACATGAAGCGAGAGGTTGGAGGGTCTATGCAGATTTCAAGAATATCTCTGAAAAATTCGTTTTTGAGAGCAAGTGCTCTGCAGAAGATTTCATTCCTTTCGAAAAGTTGAGCATGTGAGCAAGCATGGTCTTATGGGAGGGAAGTGTACAGCGTTCAGCACAACAGGGCACTGTTTCAGGAAGATACCGTTGTCCGGGCGCATTTTGAGATTTGTGAAGGGTAGCTTTTGAGTGCAGTTGCTCTGCAAAATTGTTCTTTTGAAAAGATGAGCGTGTGAGCAAGCTTGGTCCTCTGAGAGAAAAACGTGCAACGTTTCGCAGAGCAGGTTGTTTTAGAATACTGCCGTTTTCCGAACATTTGGTTTTTGAAAAAGCGCCTTTGGGAGAAATTGCTCGGCATAATCTTGTTCCAAATAGTTCATTTTTGCTTCAAAAGGTGACGATGTGGGCATGGTCTCGTGGAACTGACAACCGAACCGTGTCGAGTCGAAGTGACCTTTCCAGATGAGACCCATACTGCTTTGAAGAGCATTAATCGTTGATTCCAATTCTGCTCTCCAAATCTGCAAAACGCCTCTGGACGCCGAGTTATGCTCGTTTTTCAGATCAAAAAATTGAACGCAAAACTGAAGTAAAATTGCCCAAATTTGCTCAAATGGTCCAATGTCAAGTACCAGAGCTGTTTATGCAATGGATACATTTTATTTATTATGCTAATACTTAACATTGCTTTGTCTGAGCGCTGGAAAGATTGTAACAATCAATTTTACCTAAATTCTGCATTCATTTTTCGTTCCGAAGAACGGTCATAACTCGGCGTCCAGAGGCGCTTGGCAGATTTGGAAGGCAGATTTGGAATTACCGCTTAATACTCTTCAAAGTAATATGGGTCTCATCTGGAAAGGCCACTTCGACTCGACACGGTTCCCTTGTGAGATGTACAGCTTTACGCAGAGCAGTATTTTAAAAAGACATTACCGTTATCTCGGCATAATTTAGACAAATTTCTAAAAACTTGGTATTAAATCAATTGCGCCACACAGGCTGATGAAGTGGTGATCCAATCCGTTGATTTCTATAGTTTTGAATTACGCATTAACGAATTTGCTTCAGCGCGAGTGCTAGCGATCTGTAGGGGATAGTTTCATGTATTAGGTGCTCAGACAATCGCTGTGGGCAGTCGGGCACCGGAAAAATAGATTGCTGATTTCTCGCACCCCGCTCGCGGATTTTTTGCAAAGCAATCAGGACTTTTCGGAAGACCGCTTTAATGGCTGTGCTTTCACCAAATATCAGAGCTAAAAAGACGAATCAGGCTCAAATCACTCCTATGAAATCTACGAGGTCTAGGCTATCGATACATATAAGCAATTCTCTTCTCCTTCCATCTATGCAATGTATGCCCATTAGGAAGCCGCTAAGGCACCTCTAAAAAGAGAATGAATTGCTTATATATAAAAACTAGCTGGCATACCCGGCTCCGCCGTATGTTCCGAATAGAAAAATCCATTTCTTAACCGATCCGAACCAAACTTGGCACACATACACTTCGGGCCCCGGCGGGTGTCACAGTCCACTTTTAGTTGATGTCGATTTTATCGATTTTTTGCAAAATTTGAGCTAGGGGGCTGGGATTTAGCACAGGGAGGTAATCGAGCATGCTGATTACGAATACAATATTAGTTTTCGAAACCGTGCATTACTTTTATCGATTTTATCGATTTTTTTGCAAAATTTGAGCTAGGGGCTGGAATTTGGCAGGGGGGTGTAATCGAGCATGCTGATCACTCCCACGGGGGTGATCAGCATGCTCGATTACCCCCCTGTGCCAAATCCCAGCCCCGTAGCTCAAACTTTGCAAAAAAATCGATAAAATCGATAAAAGTAAAGCACGATTTTAAAAACTAATGTTGTATTCGGAATCCCCATGCTCACTTACCCCCTGTGCCAACTCCCAGCCCCGTAGCTCAAATTTTGCAAAAAATCGATAAAATCGATATCGATCGATACGAAAAGTAGCCTATGACACCCGCCGGGGCCCGAAGTGTACGTGTGCCAAGTTTGTCCCGATCGGTTCAGAAATGGAATTTTCTATTCGGAACATACGTACAGACAGACAGACAGACTGACATACAGACATACAGACAGACAGACAAACAGACATTCAGCTTTATATATAAGATGGTGATAACGAAAGTAACATTATTTAATAGAATACCTGTTGCATTCAATTTTATCGGTTTATTGTAGAGTACGGCCTGAGGGGTGGGAGTTGGCGCAGGGGTAAGCGAGCATGCTATTACGAAAACGTGGAGTGATTCGGTATGTAGAAGTGGGACAGGGAAGTGTTGTACAGATTAGGGAATTGGATGGTCTTTATCATAGTGTAGTGACACGGACGGGCGGAGGGAACAATCAGCTAGTTTACTATTTTCTTACCAAGTTCATAGTTATCTTCTCCATACAATGTTACGTATCCAGCTGAGGAGAAATTTGACCAGATTAGTGGATAAACGTCGTCAATATAATGCGCTTCCCGAAATCGTTTCCTGTTGTGAAAAAAACCTTAGTCATAGAAGTATCAGCGATGATACACAAGTAACTATCACTTACAGTGGCGTCTCTGACTTTGAGTGATTATGCGTATAAGGCCGTCAATGTTCAAAGGTGCACCTGAGAACAGGAAGGGGGAACTACACCGAGAAGGGATTGCGGGCTTTGAGAGTGGTCTGCGGCAGTAATACAATTACGCGTGCTTGTCCCTGTTTATGGATAGGCGAAATTATTTTGTAGCATTTATGAAATTAGACCAACCCCGAGGAAAAATTGAATTGGATCCCACAAAAGTTCCTAAAAAAAGCTGACGCCGCTTTTTCATTTGTTCTGTGTTCTCTTCTCTCTCCTCCCTCCCCGCTTCTTTTTCCACCCAAAGAAAATAACTGCAACTGCTCCTTACTTACACTAATTGTGGGAAAAAGCGCTTAAAAAGTCTTGAGTAATTATGTTGTGTTTCTTTGGCCCTTACTAAATTCCACTGAGCTCAATCGAGCGGACATGACCTCCTTCAGCTGTGCAAATGCTCCGTGTTGAGGTATAGTTAATAAATTGATGATTGGTTGCCCACACGACAGCCTTAGCGCCAATCTGTGAGCCGATGATAATGCCACTAAGCTGAAGATGGATTCTAAGTTGAATTAAGAAAGATAGTCTGCGAAAGCGGAAAAGACAAAAACACCGCGAGTTGCCCGTGAGTAGCTTAGGGCACTCGAGCTCACGTTCTTTTGCGGTGCAAAACTCGCACAACTGCATCATTTCGAAGCTCAGATGAGAGAGAATCGATGAGCAGCCGACTGCGGTGAGGAATTAAGAAAAGAAAGTTATTTTTGTATTTTTTAGCAGATGGTGCTTGATTTGAATGAATTTGAATGAAAAACCGCTTCAAACGAAAAGAATGTGAATCTTTTTTCTAATTTTTCGACAATTGTGATTTTTTACCGGTATGCATGCCAAAATCTATAAATTTGTTTTATTACTTCGTTTGCTGAGGGAAATCTCTGTTAGCGATCATCATCGACTTTACAATAGTGCCCGCTATCGAGGATTGTCCGGCAATGCAGCAAAAATTTTGCCACTAACCGGTCTCGAAATGTGGCCTTGCGCGTTTGATTCCAGTTACTTAGCCGTTCAGCAGCAAAGACTCAAGCGTTGCTTTCTTAAGAACGCACACGTTATTATGTCTAACATGGGAAGGATGTTTGGTTAGTGGCCTTTCAAAAGTGAGGATGTACACCATCTTGGAGGGCATAAAATGCTGGTAAATCTGCCTTCTTTATCTGCGGAGCATTTCTGGTCGCGATTGAAATTTTTTCGGAGCAAGAAATCAAATGCGCAACATGGGGAGAATTAATTGTTCAGATTTGCTTAGCCCAAATGGGACGGCGATGAGCGAATTCATGTTCAAACTTAGAGCATGCATTGCATAGATGCCGCATTATTCTCACAGCTTCACTTACGCGTCAGAAACGAAATGCTGTTGCTCATTCCATCGTAATTGAGCATGCAATTTTTTACTTCGAAATATCGTCGTGACTTCGAGCTCAGAAATGCTCCGCAAACAAGAAGAGCAAATTTGAAATTAGCTTTATGCCCCCCCCCCTCAAGATAGCGTGATTATCTTGAAGGACCACTTCGACCAAACATCCTTTTCTTGTAAGACAAGAGCTCAGTGGATGCCGCATAAGGGTAAGTTCGACTTGGGCCCGCCCCAGCCGAGTTGCGCTGAATGAGGGTTTACTACGACCCTATGTCTCACTTGCCGAGATCAGGTGGAAATTTAAAAGTACGACGCACACACGATGAAATAGAAATTTCTGTACGGAATCACCTAGTCAGAGGCAATTCTTCTTCTGTAGATGCTGTGAGGATTGGAATAAAAGCTTGTGGGGTACCATCTCCAACGATGTTGTAACCTTCAAAAAGTGAAATGCACTGAAGTCTATAAAGTACATGTGTCGAAGGCTAAGCTGTCTGAACTGACCTTGCAAAACTACTGCTTCGAGAATCTCTTCTATAACTTTGACAGATTTCGGCAGTTTTCGTCGGAAAGACATTTGACTAAGAGAATCAAATCCGAGAAAGTACAAGTTCAGGCTTGTGCCATCTTTGCTCTTCGTCGATCCCCTAACCCGTAAGTTCTCGTCACTCCGCCGCACCACACTCAGAAGTATACCGTTCCTAAACTTCTCTTCTCAGATATCCCTCTAGGCACGTCTACCCAAAGGGTTTTGGGGCCTTGAAGCAATATCGGAGCTTCTAACTAGGTGATCGCCGAATTTCCGCTGCAAAAAATGAATGTCGAAGCGAGAAAATTGCTCCAGAAGGTAAAAGGACTACTCCCACTAATGCAGCTGGTCTGAGGCTAATGGTGTTGAATATGAGCTCCTTGATAGATAAATAGAAATATCGAACTTGTAATAATTACAGTGAAAGGCAGGGCTCGGCACCGCTGGCAGATCAATCTGGATATCATCTCATATGTCCTCTTGTCTTGAAACCTGGGCATTATGTGAGGTAATTAACTTCATGATTTTTCTTCTGCCGTATACAGGTTGTTATTGGTAACTTTTTATTGCCTTACGTTTCGGCTACATGCCGTCGTCGGAGGCTTAAAAGGTATCAGTCACTTTGATTCACAGTCTCGGCCGTCAAATATCTTTTCCCGCTAGCCCACTCGATTCGTTCCAAGTGGAAGTAGAGAGTTTGTGGGTAGAGGGAGTGTTACTCACCAGAGTGTCACCAGTGTGTAGCAGTGCAAGCTGCTTCAAGTATGCTCGATTGACTGCGGTCGGGAATGAGCGGTCGTGGTGTCAACAGACCGCTCAAATGGGGTAGACAATCTTATAGTTTGCAATGCGTTAGATAAGGCATTAGATCTGCAGTAATAGATAACTGTTCATTCTTGCTGTTTAGCATGGGGTCGCGGGCAAGAATGTAGGCCGCCTCAAGCATTTTTCTCGCAGATATCTAATTCTCGTAGGCTAAAATGCTGCACTTGATATCATAATCGGCACCGCTGTATTCAACTTTTCTATGCTTTCCTAGTGGACTTATCAAGCTCGGCCGTCTTTTACTAGCCAAATGCTCACTTACGCGCACACCTAATGGTCGGCCAGTTTCACCAATATAAATGGCAGAGCATTCTGAACATTGGATTTGATATACAACACCAGATTTAGAGCAATCTCCCAATTTTCCATTACATACCACGCAATCGCGGGTGATGCAAGCTCCTGTTACGGACCAGTGGTTTTTTTGATGTTTTTTCCTGGTATGTTTACCAGAATGACATCGTTTGACAACTGTGCTTGCAACAAGCATTGTCTGATTGCAGTGGTGACCCTTTGGGAGATGAAAGGTAGGCACAATGGTATTTTACTTATGTTCTGCGCACTTGCCTTTGCCGATGTTCTTTTCGACCGTCTGGGTCGCGTCATATATCCGTTCGAGACCATGATTTTTGCTACCATTTCTAGTGCTTCCTGTTTTTCGTTATCGCCGCTGCAGATGTTCACTACTGTTTTGACCATGTTCCGAATCACTGCGCGCTTTACGGCTGTCGGATGCGCGGACTGTGCGTATAGAATGATATTTTTATTGCTTTCCTTTTTATACCACTTTATGCTCACCGATCCATTAACCATCATCAGCTGCGTATTAAGGAATGGAAGCCAACCGTTGCGCAATTTCTCTCTTGTCAGGCTTATGTATTGCGACTGTTCGTTTAGTATATCAAAGCACTTGTCCATTTCGGACTGTGTCGAGGTGACGATGCAACATTCGTCAATGTAACGACAATACATAAGCGGGTTCCTCGCTAGCACTGGCTGTTCTATTCTGCTCATAAAGCAAATAGCTAAGACGGGTGCTAAGCGTTGACCCATCGCCAAGCCTCTTATTTGTGTATAGTACTGCCCCGACCACTTGAAGATATTGCAACGCAAGCATTCCCTAATTAGAGTCATTATGCGAGCCCTGCTGAGACCGTACATCGTCATGCTTTTACCATGCAATTCTAGCATCTCAGAAAGTGCTTGCAGGGCGTCTTCATTGGATACATTTGTATACAATGAATTGACGTCGAACGACCCAGTTGCACAATCACGCTCGAATTTCTTCTGACGCAAAAGCTCAAGGAAATGATTTGTGTTACTCAAGTGAGCGGGGATTTTGTTCAAGAGCTGGCAATTATGATTGAGGAACCATGAGATTCGATCAGTTGGACCATTGACGCAGCTGATGATGGGTCGTATCTTGTAAGACGCTGCGGATACAGATTGCATTTCAAGTGAAGAAAGTTTGTGTGTTTTGACTAGGCTGTAAAACACGGGGCATGTAGGTGTATCGAGTTTAAGTCTACTAAGGAATTTCTCAGGAAGACCAGCTTCTTTTCCTACCACTGTCCAGACATGATTCAACCTTTTGCATTGTAAGAGAAATTCTTATTCATTTGTGAGTTGATAGGTAGTTCTTGGTAATCTCTTGATCTAGAGTTTGCGACATGATTACGAATTCCCCTCCTTTGTCGCTGACCGACAACCGGATAGTACCGTTGTTAGTAAGCTCCCTGATTTCACTAAAGCCTTGTTGTTGCGTACGCGTCGAGTTAGACCTTCTGATACTTTTGTTGTCATTGAGAACTTTCAAGATACCGAGCAAGAGTATTCGGAACTTGATGTCTGCAACGGCATTAGGTTCAGGTTCTTTGTAGAAGGAAGCTGGAAATGGCACTATTGGTAATGTTCTTTTACTGAGATTATCGCAGGGTTGTTTTTGGCTTTCAAGTTTGTCGCGCTTTAGCTTGATTCGAAGTTGGTCTCTTAATCTATGCAATGATCCTAACACACTGCGGTAAGTGTTCGCGCTGATATTTTGGGTAAGTGCAAATGAGGGTCCTAAGCTCAAGAACTCAATGGCGTTAGTGGAGATCTAAGCGTTACCCACTACTGTGACCTTTGCCGTTCTTCCGCCATCGCAAGTCTGAGCATTTGCACTATCGGAATGATCAGAAACTGGTAAAATCCCTCTAACTCCAAGAGAACCTGATTACCTTCACTCAAAAGTCTTTCGAACTTTTTGCAAAGCGTGGATTTGATATTAGACCGCAGCGAACTGCAAATCCGTTTCAATGCGCTTTCAATCCTCTTCCATTCATTATCACTTATATAGCGCCGGCAACATTCTTCTTTGGCTCTGCACTTCAAGAGAGTCGAGTAGAACACGTGTTGTTTTTCTTTGATCACCACTTTGAGAAGTTTCACGTTAAATCCACGTATTATTTGATGATCTTCCGATAAACCGAAGCAGTGGTATCAACGCAGAGTACTGATGAAGTGGGGAAGCATCTCGGTCGACTTGCATCGTTTGAGGAAGTTCAGCTGCTGTCGGGTGACCACAACCTTCTGACGAAGCGCCAAGTCTTCGTGCAGTAGCGAGGACAAGTTTGGCGGTATGTTTGATATTATCTCATATGTCCTCTTGTCTTGAAACCTGGGCATTATGTGAGGTAATTAACTTCAATGATTTTTATATTTTTATATTTTTCAATACGTTGTTAACGTGAACTTCTCAAAGTGGTGATCAAAGAAAAACAACACGTGTTCTACTCGACTCTCTTGAAGTGCAGAGCCAAAGAAGAATGTTGCCGGCGCTATATAAGTGATAATGAATGGAAGAGGATTGAAAGCGCATTGAAACGGATTTGCAGTTCGCTGCGGTCTAATATCAAATCCACGCTTTGCAAAAAGTTCGAAAGACTTTTGAGTGAAGGTAATCAGGTTCTCTTGGAGTTAGAGGGATTTTACCAGTTTCTGATCATTCCGATAGTGCAAATGCTCAGACTTGCGATGGCGGAAGAACGGCAAAGGTCACAGTAGTGGGTAACGCTTAGATCTCCACTAACGCCATTGAGTTCTTGAGCTTAGGACCCTCATTTGCACTTACCCAAAATATCAGCGCGAACACTTACCGCAGTGTGTTAGGATCATTGCATAGATTAAGAGACCAACTTCGAATCAAGCTAAAGCGCGACAAACTTGAAAGCCAAAAACAACCCTGCGATAATCTCAGTAAAAGAACATTACCAATAGTGCCATTTCCAGCTTCCTTCTACAAAGAACCTGAACCTAATGCCGTTGCAGACATCAAGTTCCGAATACTCTTGCTCGGTATCTTGAAAGTTCTCAATGACAACAAAAGTATCAGAAGGTCTAACTCGACGCGTACGCAACAACAAGGCTTTAGTGAAATCAGGGAGCTTACTAACAACGGTACTATCCGGTTGTCGGTCAGCGACAAAGGAGGGGAATTCGTAATCATGTCGCAAACTCTAGATCAAGAGATTACCAAGAACTACCTATCAACTCACAAATGAATAAGAATTTCTCTTACAATGCAAAAGGTTGAATCATGTCTGGACAGTGGTAGGAAAAGAAGCTGGTCTTCCTGAGAAATTCCTTAGTAGACTTAAACTCGATACACCTACATGCCCCGTGTTTTACAGCCTAGTCAAAACACACAAACTTTCTTCACTTGAAATGCAATCTGTATCCGCAGCGTCTTACAAGATACGACCCATCATCAGCTGCGTCAATGGTCCAACTGATCGAATCTCATGGTTCCTCAATCATAATTGCCAGCTCTTGAACAAAATCCCCGCTCACTTGAGTAACACAAATCATTTCCTTGAGCTTTTGCGCCAGAAGAAATTCGAGCGTGATTGTGCAACTGGGTCGTTCGACGTCAATTCATTGTATACAAATGTATCCAATGAAGACGCCCTGCAAGCACTTTCTGAGATGCTAGAATTGCATGGTAAAAGCATGACGATGTACGGTCTCAGCAGGGCTCGCATAATGACTCTAATTAGGGAATGCTTGCGTTGCAATATCTTCAAGTGGTCGGGGCAGTACTATACACAAATAAGAGGCTTGGCGATGGGTCAACGCTTAGCACCCGTCTTAGCTATTTGCTTTATGAGCAGAATAGAACAGCCAGTGCTAGCGAGGAACCCGCTTATGTATTGTCGTTACATTGACGAATGTTGCATCGTCACCTCGACACAGTCCGAAATGGACAAGTGCTTTGATATACTAAACGAACAGTCGCAATACATAAGCCTGACAAGAGAGAAATTGCGCAACGGTTGGCTTCCATTCCTTAATACGCAGCTGATGATGGTTAATGGATCGGTGAGCATAAAGTGGTATAAAAAGGAAAGCAATAAAAATATCATTCTATACGCACAGTCCGCGCATCCGACAGCCGTAAAGCGCGCAGTGATTCGGAACATGGTCAAAACAGTAGTGAACATCTGCAGCGGCGATAACGAAAAACAGGAAGCACTAGAAATGGTAGCAAAAATCATGGTCTCGAACGGATATATGACGCGACCCAGACGGTCGAAAAGAACATCGGCAAAGGCAAGTGCGCAGAACATAAGTAAAATACCATTGTGCCTACCTTTCATCTCCCAAAGGGTCACCACTGCAATCAGACAATGCTTGTTGCAAGCACAGTTGTCAAACGATGTCATTCTGGTAAACATACCAGGAAAAAACATCAAAAAAACCACTGGTCCGTAACAGGAGCTTGCATCACCCGCGATTGCGTGGTATGTAATGGAAAATTGGGAGATTGCTCTAAATCTGGTGTTGTATATCAAATCCAATGTTCAGAATGCTCTGCCATTTATATTGGTGAAACTGGCCGACCATTAGGTGTGCGCGTAAGTGAGCATTTGGCTAGTAAAAGACGGCAGAGCTTGATAAGTCCACTAGGAAAGCATAGAAAAGTTGAATACAGCGGTGCCGATTATGATATCAAGTGCAGCATTTTAGCCTACGAGAATCAGATATCTGCGAGAAAAATGCTTGAGGCGGCCTACATTCTTGCCCGCGACCCCATGCTAAACAGCAAGAATGAACAGTTATCTATTACTGCAGATCTAATGCCTTATCTAACGCATTGCAAACTATAAGATTGTCTACCCCATTTGAGCGGTCTGTTGACACCACGACCGCTCATTCCCGACCGCAGTCAATCGAGCATACTTGAAGCAGCTTGCACTGCTACACACTAGTGACACTCTGGTGAGTAACACTCCCTCTACCGACAAACTCTCTACTTCCACTTGGAACGAATCGAGTGGGCTAGCGGGAAAAGATATTTGACGGCCGAGACTGTGAATCAAAGTGACTGATACCTTTTAAGCCTCCAACGACGGCATGTAGCCGAAACGTAAGGCAATAAAAAGTTACCAATAACAACCTGTACACGGCTGAAGAAAAATCATTGAGGTTAATCTGGATATCGTTTTTGGGTGGAAAGCAAAAGTGATATTGTTTTTCCGAGGGTCCGGGGCGAAGAAGTGCCGCAAGAATGCTGCCGGCATGCCACTGGCATGCTGTTTATCAACAAACAAAGGCACTGTTTTCAGCCAAAACGCAATAGTATGACACCAAATTTGGTGGCATGCGCGTCGGTGGACCCGAAAGGGCCCAAAAATTTATGAAAACTTATGTGATTGGAAGCCGCGCTGAACATTTTTCTGAATTAGCTGGCACCGTGCCAGCTGGGTGCCAGCTGAGCTGGCACGACACTTTGCTCACATAAGTTTTCATACTTTTTTAAATAGAGTGTATCTACACTGTAAAAGTTTACATACAGAGAAGAAATAATTTCATAATGTTTTCTTTTCAGCGTTTTATAGCAATCTGAAAATTACTCGGTCTGTGGGTCTTCAAAACAGGTCAAAGAGGACTTCGTATGAAATTTTCCGCATCAAACGGTACTTCGTTTTGAAATTTCCCTGGTGCCAGCTTGTGCCGAGCCCTGGTGAAAGGCGAATTTGGGACAATTATGGATTTGTTGAAGTCAGACTAAACACGTTGATGGATGGAGCCACCTTGGCTTCTAAAGTGATTTTCTCGCTTTGGAATTCATCTTCTGCGGGGGGATTGGTACTCACTTTGTTAGAACTTCCCTATTGTACAGTACCAAAATCCCACTATCCAGATGGGCCGTGCCCTTAATTCGAGTCTAAGAATGTTTATTCTATGCTGCTAAGTCTTACCATTTCTGCCATCCATCAGTACAGCTTACAAGAGCAAAGTCTGACTTCATGGGTTGGCCATTTGGTAGTGCATCGAAGGCGGTATAAGTATTATCCGAGGTACTTTTCCATGTAACATAGTATCCATGACATTGCGCATTTTTTCTGCAAAGAATCACAAATTTTTGTGTTGGCGTTTTCGACGCTGGTTAGTCACTCACATACCCCTAATCAACCGTTGAAAGGGAGTATGATTCAAAAAATCCAAATGTACCTCTCTTCGATGTACTGCACATTTCCATTATCATCAATAAAGACCCAATTTCTAGGGTTTTTGAAGCATGTGAGAGGTTCGGTTTTGAAGAAGAAGCCTCTCACTTCTGAGCCATTTATGTCCAGCTTAGGTATGAGACAAGTCTGTAAAAGAAATTTCACGTATACAAGGTAACTGACGCCTTTTTAGCTTCTGAAAACGGCTCAAGCCGAAACTTCGGGCAATAAAGGTGTATTATCTATAGCAACCTGTACGGCACAATTAAAATTGAAATAAGACATAATCAAGAAAATGCCCATCTTTAGAGGTAAGAGGACCTATAGCATAATTTTCTCTCAATCTTTATCGCTTGGGCTTTGCAAGATTACTGAGCTTGGGACATACCTTGCACTAGAAACCAGCAAAAAATCATTTAAAAATGCTTAGGCAGTTGTTCAAATTTATATGATTTTGTATGTTTATGAGGTATTTAGTAATTTTTCGAAAGGATTTGTTTTTAAAAAAAATCAAAATTCGAAAATAGAACATTTGATCAAAACTATCTAACTTATACAAAGAGTAGGAGGTAGAAGTTGAGCTTCAAAAGAAATAGAATATTGGCCTTTGAGCATTTTTAGTGTCCGAAATTCTCAAAAAAAATCAGAGTGTCCATCTTTCTCAGCTCTAATTGTCGCGATAGGACCACATTGATTTTTTGTGTAAACACTATCAGAAAGCGCACAACTTCTCCTATGACTCGACTATATTCATGTCATTGAGTGGAAGAACATGCGAATTTTAAAAGTTTTAGTGCAAATCTTAAATTCAACCTGAAAGATTTAACTTCTAGGTTGAGCTTGAGTTTCAACCCAGACTTAGGTCAGTAGCGTTTCAAAGCTAGAGGCATTTGAAAGCAAAAATTGCGTGATTGCGTGGAAGACTTACTTGTCCTTGCAGCTGGAATGTACCTGCGCCAGTCGAATTTCTTGGTTTTGCCCGCAGATTTCTATCTATGTCTCCACCAGTTACGATCACTTTCAAAGGCGACTGCAAGAAATAAGCATAATGCGGCTGTACAAAATTTTTCGGAATCTCATGTGCTCACTCTCGCAGCTGGGAACTCTTTGTGCAAGTAGATGAGTATAAATGAGAAAATTATTGCCGCTACGAGCTGCTGCCGTCTGATGCGAGGAAGTCGTCGTAGTATGGCGCTGAGCTTGTTTTTGCATTTATTCCGTAATGTTTGCTTGTTTATCGGGATTGACATATAGCTTGGCGGGTCCAGGAGGCGGAAGGTGGTGTTAAGGCCTAAGCGTTGGAATTATGGGGGTGCCCTGTTTTCATATAAAAACAATCGCAATAATGTGAATTATGAAATCAGATTTATTTCATAAATTGTCTCTCTCAAATTGAAAGCTTCTAGAAAAAATGTTGTGGAAAATGTCGCGGTAGAAAATCTTCGTCGAAGTGAATACGATCCAAAGGAAGTAAGCGTTATATAGTTAAGGTCTACAGTTTGCAATAGTTTTTATTGCGCTCAAAAAAATGGTTCAGAAGAAAAATTATCTTGATTTGAAATTAGATTTTATAAAACGTGCATTATTTGTTAGACAGCCTAATCTAAAAAACTTCCGATTAGTTCCTAAGATGATGTTTTGTTGACGACGTGTACTAGATGAACAACTGGATCAACGCAATTATTGAGCAGACAGCGGAAAAGGAGGTAGTGGTTTATGAAAACTTTTCTACCACTCAGGTTTTGTGTGAGAAACGAGATGCAAAATGCAGAATTTTAGAGAAAACAAACTGGTACAAACAAACTGGTATGTGTCTTATATTGTGGTGATTCAATGAAGCTGATGTTCACTTGCAGCATTGATGTCCGGAACTTAGAAGTTTTGGAAGTAGATCGAGAGTGACGAGCAGCAATAGCTTGAGACGTTTATTGGCTGCATCACGGAGTAAAACCAAGTGCGTATATTAGCGTTTTCTATACGGGCTTGAGAGAAAGGCATCTTAACTAAGCGTGTCGTGCATTTTGATGATCTCAATCTATCTGCGGGCGCATTAGCGCACTATTGTTAATTCTCAAATCAGTTAAGTTCAGATCATGTGAGCATATAGATGAGTGACAGCGTGGCGATAGATTTCTAAAACATCAGGAGAAGCTATCAGCAAGATTGCAAAATGTAAAGCTAATTCATAGGCTGAGATGAATTGTTGATGAAACTTATAGGCACTTACAGCTAAGGTTAATTTTTTGTAGAATTAAGGAAAATGGTGTTGCAAAATTTTCTCTGAGAACATATATTATTACCAAAATAGTATCAAAGAATATCGAAGAAAAAAAAGTAGTTGTTAGACGTTTTTTCTCAAGTCTGACATACACAAAAGACATTAGTTCCATTCCAAACATGAAAACAGAAATACAGATTGGAAATGAAACACAGCATGCAAGAATTGCCGTGAAATAAACGCAAGTTTTCCAATATGCAGATAACGAGGAATAAGAGCATTCTTTAGGTTATAGGTTGTCTCGAAAGTTTTGTCCGTTTCTTCAAACTATAAAACCACGCACAACAAAGACCTGAACGAAGTTCAACATGCATTCGATGCAGCTTTTCCTTCTTTTTCTTATGGATACATTGTCAAACTACAATCTTGTATGCTTCTTTTGATAATTGCCAAAATTCTCCACCCGTCAATTTTATCTGCTCAAAGTTAGGCTGATTTTTGAAAATCCATTCAAAGTTTCGGAAAGGTTAAGTAAGGTTCAGCAATTCTCGGACAACGTGATGTTTCAAGGTTCTTCTAATCTGCCGTTTTTGACTTCAAATATCAATTTTCCAGGCTCTCGATTTTTGGCAAAGTCATGAAACAAGCAACTGCAGCAAATACACGAAAGCTTTCGAATTTTCTGGAAGTTGAGACAATTCTGTTTGATTTGCTTCAGAAAAGCAGCTTTTTAGAATTTGCGGTACTTTTACGTAGTAAATGTAATAAAAAAGCCGCGGTTTTTATTGAATATAATTATACCGGTCTTGGTAAACGTTGAATGATCTAAAATGGAAACAATATAGTCAGAGGTTTGCTCTATATAGCAGTTACCAGCGCTCTTCGAAAACATTAGGATGAAAATTTTTGAAATTCAGAAAAGATTCGGCGTTACTGCCAAGCTGCTTAAAAAGCCATGCATTGCAAAGACAGGGAAGATCAGAGAAACATAGCTGTAAGAAAGAGGACAAATATCTGAATCAAATGTTACCTAAGCCGTTCATGAATTGGTGTTCTGTGAATTTTAATGAGCAATGAAAAAACGCATAAAACTTCTGGGACAACTCAATGTGTCATCATTATGTGACTAACAAGGGAACGATTCCAATTTAAGGTGGCGAATTGGAATAAACCGCATATCATTAGATGCGTCTTGATGAGCTGATTCCAAATCTACTTCCATATCTGCGACAACGTTATCTGGTAGAAGTTATGAAAGGTTAAAAATGTGAAGTAACGGGGGCTTTGATGCATAATTCGCTTCAAAATCCAACTTGGGAGTGTATGACTAGCATGATATTGAGTGTACTGATTTCAAGGAATGCTCACACTCTAAAGAAACACTAAGTGTTTTTGAACAACTAATTTTCGAGGTATTGCGCTGTATATTTGCCAAATTTGGACTTTTCATTGCTCATAGCTTTTACCAAAGAACTTTAGTTGCTTTTTAGCTGTTCAAAAACATTTATTTGCATTTCTTTTGAATGTCAGCATTCCGTGAAATCAGTACACTCAATATGATGCTAGTCACGCACTTCCAAGTTGGATTTTAAAGCAAATTATGCATCAAAACCCCCGTTACTTCACATTTTCAACCTTTCATAACTTCTTCCAGATAACGTTGTCGCAGATATGGAAGATAGATTTGGAATCAGCTCATCAAGACGCATCTAATGGTATGCGGTTCATTCCAATTCGCCACCTTAAGTTGGGATCGTTCCCTTGTAAGAGGCTCCACACTGCTTTGGACACATTGTCTAAACCAGTTTGAACCTGTTGCTTCCTGTTTCTAAGTAGCAAGTAATCCCGAAATAGATTAAGTTAATAAGAAGTACTTGGACATTGAATTTGATCAAAATTTTTGCTTCGATGAGATCAATATATGGGGCATGCGGCTTACCATCAGATAGAGAGAGCAAGCTCTACAAGACCATACTAATTGCTATAATAAATGAATCATAGGAAAATAGAGGCAAAAATTCAAAAGCAAAAGATTTCAGACAAGCTCATCTCCATCTCCCGTAAAACCTGTTCCTAAATGCTCTAATAATATCAGGCATAAACTTACATACACGAATGCAAAGTCTGAATGAAATTCGCGCCTAACCGCTTTCTTATAGATGCACTACAACATGAAAAATAACAATTTTAGTCAAAAAATACCCGAAAACTTTCTTACCAACCTGACAGATCACAAGTACATATATATTTATTAACTATACGATTGAGTTTGTTTTGACAATGTGTGCAAATCGGTTTCGAATCGCTTAGTCACGGAATGAATGATAGACAGAATGTTTTGTATTGATGCTCACTAAAAAAAACAAGAATCTGATGTTGTCTATTCGATCGCCAGCAAAGATAATTCCTTTTGTCTACGAAGTGACAGAGAGCGCAATTGTTGGGCTTACAAAAAATGGAGTAGTCAATAACAAATTGACAACAAACAGAGGTCAAAAGTACAACATGTGATAACGACTACTTCGCAGCAAAAAAGACAAATGCTTTCCAGAAAACACAAGATGCCGCGTAGAAATGTCACGAGAGTTTCCATGGTAGTGCAACCAATCTGAAAAATGACAGAGATGTAGAGCGTCAAGCTGAAAATAGCTTTTAATGTCGTAAATACATGTTTTACACGTATTTACGTACCTGTATATAACTGCAGAACAGGCGTCAAGCCCTGGCCATACCAAGAAAAAAGTCACCGCGATGCGATTTGCGCAATCGGACAACTGTCATGTGCCCTATGCATGCCGGCAAATCATGCGTCGGTGTCGTGCTAGCTGTCCGGCGCCACGGATCGCTGACCGTCTTTTCCTAGGCCATACCTATTCCAGCGATATCGCCGCGTGGCCGAAATCTTGCGATATCGCGTCGTCAATTCCAAACTGGAGACGCGGCGATATCGCTGAAATTGGATTTCTTTCCTGGAAGTTTTAAAACAGTTTTTTTCTTTCAATTCGTTTTTTTTTGCGAAGATGTTGAAATGTGATGCATATTTCCTAGACTGCGTTTCTTTCGTGTTGTGATGCGCCTTCCTTCTAGTTCGTGCCACCAGTCGGGATAAATTTCGACTATTTTGATTGTTCATTTTTGATTGTTCGAAATCAAAAAATCAATAACGTGCGTAGTATCTGTATATCTAAATATCGAGAAAAATTAGCAACGTATGAAATCGCAGCTGCACTTGGGAAGATTGGCTTTGCATCCTGTATCTAATGAGAAAAGTTGAAGATAGTTGCGAATGCGCGAGAAGCTAATATGAACTGTTGATGTTAAACGTATCGGTGTCAAAAAACATAGAGAAATACGCATATCACTCCTTTGGGGTGCAAAAGAAAACGCAGAACGAGTGCTGAGGTGTATATTTTCACCTTATCGCTGAACAGGTAGGTATGTCCAGAACCCGCGACCAGCGATTCAACAGTTGCGATTTCGTCGCTCTGATCATGAAATTCCCCGGCGACGGAATCGCGAAGATGGAATCGCTGCAATATGGTCAGGGCTTCAGAGCTTCAGACTCAATGATTACGCTTTCTGTGATTTACTGTGGATAACGGCAATTTCAACTCTCGGCAACCAAATTTTGGTGGGACACTGCCTTTGAGAGCTGATTACCCTCAAAGGCAGTGTCCCACCAAAATTTTGTCGAGATTTTTGCATATTTCAAGCCTTATTGGCCCCGTTTAATCCAATGCGGGGCCAAATCGCATGAAATGCACGAAAACTCCGTTTTTTCAAGTCCCTTGAAAACAACACGGACATGTTGTGCCTTCTTAGCCTAGCCTTCTCCAAATGGCAGCAACAATGGAGGTGGACGCTAAGCGCCAATTGGAGGGACATGTTGAGACGCATAAGGGGGCCGAGCGCGTCGGCTGTGCGGGCCAAAACGCGCCTTGCGGGCTACGTTGAGGACAAATGTCTCGGGTAGAAGGGCGCGGATAGAGTCGGACATGAGGCGGTCGCCTGTCATGGGGGCCCTCCAGCAAAATATGTGAGAGTCGCACCACCCCAATTTTGGTGAGACACTGCCTTTGA